GCAGCGGCCGCAGCAGCCACGGCAGAAAGCCGAGGGAGAAGATGGCAGGACTACGGAGTCGCTGTGCCCAAAAGAACTAGCGGACGCTGTGCCATTTCAAGAGGCAGCTCGTGGTCAAGCACCAGCGGCCGAGAGAAAGAAGTCCAAGCTGAACCGAGGGCATCGACGGCAAGCAAGGCCGCGGGAAGGGAAGGTCACACCACACGGAACGTTTCAACCAGCCGACCGAGGAAGCACCGCGGGCACTCGCTCCTCCAGGCTGAGAAACCTGGACGGCTCCCGGCCCGCAGACTGGACACGGCCTGCATGTGTGCCCATTCCAAGGGAAGGTGAGCCGACAGAATAGGGAAATGACCCAGCAGATTGCTAATATCACACGCAAGTGGACTTCCGCTGAAGTAACGCGGCCATGTCTGCAGCAGGCCGTCTGGAGGGAGCTGCAGGCCAGACTCAGAGGAGGACACCGCACAAGGGCGACCCCTGGGGAGGTCGGAAGAGCTCGCTGAAAGCGGAGCTCAGCAGAGACAGATATTTCCTTGTGTTCTCAACTGTGCGGCACCGCACACTAGGGACAGCCGGAGAGGGAGGGAGGGCGGTCGGGCTCTTCACTGTGCGCCTGTGGACCAGCAGGCCGTCGTTGGCGCAGACCGAGGGAACCTGCCTGGCTTAAAACCCGGCGTGCCAATGGCCTACCGCTAACCCCTCCCAGGGGGAGGGACAACAGACAAGGGGGGAAAGGAAGCCATCGGACAGTGTAAGACATGAAAAGATCATAATAATTTATACATTATCCAGGGTTCATGAGGGAGAGGGGAAGGGGGAAAGGAGGAGCTGATACCAAGGGCTCAAGTAGAAAGAAAATGCTTTGGGAACGATGATGCAGCATATGTACAGATGTGCTTGATACAACGGATAGGCGGATGGATTGTGACAAGGGCCATAGGAGCCCCCAATAAAATGATTTATAATAAAAAGATTAACATAAAAACCAAAAACGGGTGTGTGTCGGGGTTGTATGCTCCCACCACATCTATCCAACCATCAGAGAAGCTGGGTCCTCGGCCGAAGAATGGTATAACGGGGCTGGAGAAGGCCTAGTATCGCTGCGGTGTGCGGCCGGCCGGCACGGCCTTGCTTGCTGACAGCATGGGGGCTGGAAGCACGGGTGCGGGGAGCAGAGACTGCAGCCTTCGGGGTGAGAGGAAACCAGGCTCATGAACTCCGCCCCGAGAAACGCGGCAAAGTGACTCGAATTCGATCTTGCAAGTCTGGCTAGACCAGAGGAGGTACACTGGTACAGATAGGAACTGAAAATACAGGGAAT